GCCATAGTTAAATAGACAACGCTCGGCTTTTCATTAAATCTTTACTAAGGACAGACAAACAGAGAGAGAGAGAGAGAGAGAGGAAGAGGGAGGAAGCGAAAGGGACAGGGAGAGGAAGCAATAGAGAAAGCGTCAGGACATTTGTAATGCCATAAATGACTTCGAAGCCCCGAGGGCCGCTTTTTAAAGCTATTCAAATGAAAGCAAACGCTCAGGCTCTTGCAGGTGCTGCCCGACTAGGGTATACCCTATACCCAACCCGCTTAAACATTCTAGTTCTCTGGACTGCGCTTTCTCTTACCCTGTATGGGAAAATACAGTCTACATACCAAATTTTGATTTTACAGCGAATAATACCCGAAAAAAGTAAGGTCTCTTATAGGATGGATAGACAGGCAAGCTAGAGATTTTGATAAGTATTCAAGAAGAGTCTATAGCTTTTATAAGCTTCGAGTAATGCCAAAAAACCTAGTTTTGAAGTGGATATTATGAAACTGGGAGGGGGGGATATGGAAAGAAAATGATTATTTCTGCGTATGTTATAGGATGATGAGACAGACAAAGTAAGATCAAAAAAGCTCGTCTTCTTCAAAAAGTTGTTCAACCAAAAGCAAATTTATCCCCCATCGATCCAAAATTCCTTTACTTATCCTGACTTCCAAATTATATTGCGCCCTTGCAGCTATCGCGCTCCACGCACATCCTGGGCCGCTACAAGTCAGAACGTTTTCTGGCCTCCAAGCCGAACGAGGATCGACGCCGACGCACGATCATTGTGGAGAAGAGGAACGACTCGTACGGCTTCACGCTGCAGAGCTATGGCATACACTACAAGTGCGACGAGGAGCTGGAGATGATCACGTACGTGGACTATGTGGAGTATGGCGGGCCGGCCTATCGGGCCGGAATGCGCGAGGGCGACGTTATACTCTCGATCAATGGCAACGACATGGAGAAGGCCGATCACAAGACCATCGTGGAGTTCATCAAGAAGTGCGAGCTGCGCATGCGCATGGTTGTGCTCTTCGAGGATTGTGTGCGCAAGGTAAGCTGGGGGTCATACTCTTCCAGTTAATCTTCTAAAGAAATCCATCATTTCGCACAGGTGGATCTGCACATGCGCTACATCCAGCTGCAGAGCATGCTGCAGCAAAAGATGAACGAGCTGGAGCGCGTGCATCTGCGCGAACGCGAGCTTCTAGAGGGCAAGTGGAAGACGCACAGCTTGCCGGCGCGCAAGAAGGCAAATGCCGCCAACAGCTCGCCCAGCGAGGGCGACGGCATCTCGCCCACAGAGGCGGGCGCCAACGAATCGGGCTTCTATCGACCCGCCCTGTCCACGGAGGATGTGGCCAACATGGCGCTGCGACAGCAGCCGGTGATCATACCGCCGCCGGCACAATTTATGCTCACCTATCACTATCTGGATCCGAGCTATCGCTATGTGCTGCGGCCCGCGCACATGGAGGCGGGGCTGCAGCGGAGCAGCAGCAGCGATCCCCACCAGGCGCAGCAGGCCATGCAGTACATGCTGCAGCGCACCGAGTCGCTGGACACGAACAGCGCCAGCCAGGCGACGCAGTATCACAGCGCCAGCGCTGGAGCAGGAGGAGGTGGACCAGGTGTTGGGTCCGTGGTGAAGCCGCCAGCGCCGCCGCCGCGCACCTGCGAGAAGCACAAACCGCCCGCCAAGCTGGAGAAGACAAAGCATTGCCATGCCGGACACTCGTGCAATCCCTGTGTGGGCCACTTTCGCTGGAAGTCCGCGGAGAAGTCGCACAGCAATGGGGACAATGTCAGTCTCGATGCCTACGATCTGGCCAGTCCCTGCTGCGATACGCAGTGCGTGCCGTCGCGTCGTCGCCATCGCCAGCACAAGGAGCACACGCACAAGCACAAGCATCGCGACCGGGAAAGGGAGCGTTCCGAGCCGAAGGATAAGCAGGCAGCGGGTCGGCACAAGTCGCAGACGCATGCTGTCGCCGCCGTCGCCGCCGGCTCGCCTGTGGTCAAGGCGTCACAGCCGAATCATCATCATCATCACCATCATCGGCATGTGCACGAGCAGACGCCACCGCCGCCGGGACAGGCGCAGCCCCATCATCATCATTATCAGCAGCAGCCGTCGCAGTCGGGTAGCGCGCGCTCGCGCTACTTTGATCTGGCCTCCGGGCTGGCGAGCCACTGCAGCCTGCATTCGTGCACCTCCAGCGAATTTGCGCCCGCCGATTCCGCCTCCTACACGACCTCTATCAGCACGGACACGCTCTTCTGGGAGCCCAAGAGCGAGGCGGGGTCGCGTCAGCCTTCGACCAAGTCGCGTCAGTCGTACGAGCAGCCGCAGCCAGTCCCGGTCCAAGGACACGTCCATGGGCATCATCATCATCATCATCCGCATTATCATGTGACCGCGACGCAGGTGCAGCCGTCCCAGATCTATCCGAACAGCATGGCCTATGTGCAGAAGCCCAAATCGTGGGATAATCTGGCTACCAAGGCTCTGGTGGGACAGGGCTTTGGCTACGGCTATCTGGACACGGCGGTAGCCATGAAGCCGCCGGTCAAGCTGCAGATTGCCCAGCAGCGGCATTCGATGCCGCGTCGAAATCCGTATGGCCGTTATTCCACCTATGGCGACGTCGAGAACTATGCGCCGCCGCCCACCGAATTTGTGGGCGAGCTGACGACCACGACGACCACCACGATTACGGCCAAGTCCACGGAGGAGCTGCTGGCCGCCTGCGACTGCCTGACGCCGCAGCAGCAGCAGGCCCTGAAGGCGGCCCAGTATCAGCTCAGCCAGACGCAGAAGCTCTCGCATCAGAACTCCTGCCAAATGGGCTACTATTCCCATCTGCCCAGGCCCACCGCGGACGTGGGCATCTCCACGGGACAACCCCAGCAGCAGCAGCAGCAGCAGCAGCAGCAGCAGCCGCAGCAGCAGGCGAATAATGGGTGCGATGTTGCCACCGTGTCGGAGGCAACTCGTTTGTAGGCTGCCAGCCATTAATTTAGCCATTTTCTAGCCAAATTCAGTGCTTTGCAGAGCTCTTTCGCCGGAAACAGTTGAAGCATTAAGCTTATTTAGGTATGTTTTAACAAATCTGGCAACTCTTCTCATTGCCAGTTTTTGCTTAGCAACAACTGTTGCCAATTCAGCTATTTTCTTGTTAAATACGAATCTTTTCCGATGTCTTCAGACAAACCTCTACTTATTGGCAACTTTGTATATAGCTAAATTGTGATCAAAACAGCTATTCAGCTATTTCCTACCTATATTTGGACCTTAACAAAGTCTTTCAGCTGAACATAACTATATTTTAAAAAATGATCTATCTATTTCTAGCAACTCTGGCATGCTTTTATTGCCTATTTCTGCTCTGCCGGCTGATTCAGCTATTTTTAGCTATTTTTAACATCATAGCTAGCTTATTTTTGAAAGGGCAGTTGGCGACACTGCCGATAGTTGCCATCAGGCTAGCAACTAGGCCGACTACACATAAACCGTCTTTCAAGTGGGCTTCCAAAATGAATGCATTCAAAAGCTAGCAAATGACTCATTTGCAATAATATCTGGCAACGTTGAGTGCATTTGAATTGGGGGTTCGCTACACTACAAAATGTACATCGAAACAATTAGCAAATGTTGCAGCCAAATTTTTAAATTTTAACTAGCACTTGAAAAAACAGTAAGGAACAGTTAGAGACAGTTACATATAAACTAGATTTATATGTATTATAACTAGACGCATTGCAGTTTCTGAATTTTTAGATTTATTTGAAGACTGAAAGCTACGCGTAGTATATTTTAATAGAGGTCCGGGTGAGACAGGTTCTTGAACCTGGCCGGCTCAAGTGCTTGAATCTATAGTTAAAAGCTAGACATACATATTATAAATATATAAATATATGATTTATATATGCATGATAGCTATTGTTTTTAACATACTGTAGATATACCTTTAATATACATATATACCTAATATTTATTATAGTTATTATGAAAAGCTGATGTCGAACAATGTAATTTAATCATTGTGATAGCGCGTCAAGGCAGATACTGAGAACAAAAAAAAAACAACAAACACAATTTTAGTCAACTAAATATATATAAAAATATATGTATGTATAATTGATCAAAGAGCGCTTCTGATGTAATGCAGTTAGTAAATGTTATTGTACTTTATATATACAATAAAATTCAATGTGTGTTCATGTAGTATAACTCAAGAAAAATTGTTTAAATTTTTACTCTTTGCATGATTTTTAAATGTGATTTGTATTATTTTCATTGTTACTTTCTGCTTGCCATCTGATCATAGCTTTAAGCTAGATGGCAACTCTGCAACCCTAACCTATATATTTTATATACGATAACAGTGTACCAGATGTAGACTTACCCAACGGTTGGTCTGCAAATTTTTGGTTTTAATTTTTATTGTCACTCTGATATCCGTCTGATCGTGGCCACAATTAGGCATGAGAACAATTTACGAGATGGCAACTCTGTAAATACCCAAATTTAAAAAATATTTTCTATTGTTAATTTGATATCCTATATTATTATATTATATATATTAAATATATGAATAATAATAAACCAGATGGCAACTCTGTAGTTCTATATTTCATATAACCTAGGGCATATTTTTGTAGTCAATCTGATATCTGCTCGTAGCCACACTTTATTTTAATAATATACGATAACAGTTTATCAGGTAGCAAGTCTGTAGAGTTTATTTTGAAATGTCCAACCGAAAAAAATTGTAAACCATTTTTTACAGCCACTTCGATATCCGATCGTAACTCCAACTTATCTCAATTGTATCTGCCAACAATGAACCAGGTGGCAACTCTGTAGAGTTACTGTTCAAATGTGCAACGGTAAGTCTACAGACGGTCAGCTGTTTTGTTGCTGGTTCAACCCCCGAAATGACTGTCAAAATAGACGCCCCCTGTCGGCTGGCGTGCGGACTAGCAGCTGTCAGTTTTGGGCAAAAAAATCGATACCAACCCCAACCCCAACCCCCTTCGTTAAAAATGTAAATGCGAAAAAATTCAATACTGTGCAGCCATACACGACGCTCGCAACGCGTTTCCACAAATCACAAGAACTCGTGTGTCCCATAAATTAAACGAAATTCTCACAGAAATCCAACATAAGAGAAGGTTCGAAGAAGTGCTAACGCCGCCAAAAAAAGCAAACGGAAAGGAAAGCGAGAAAATCGGAAAAAAAAAAAAGGCGAAAAGTGCGTGAAACGTTAACCGGCAAAAACGGATACAAAGGCCACAGAAAGGACGCAGTGAAAGTGCCATGGAAAGCGCGTAGTTCCGAGCATCCGTTCATATTCCTGCCGGAGCAGAAGGAAAATATGTTAGGTGTGGCTTTGGAGCGCTGCTAGCGGGGAGCCTGAGCGTGGGCGGCTAACGGGATCTGGCAACACCGGCGGCGGCAACAACAAACACGGCGGAATCGAAGGCGCCGGCGGCGGCGGCAACGGAGACGGAGACGGAGCACAGCGGCACAGTCCCCTCCACCTCCATCAAACAGTTAAAGCAGTTCACATTCCGCCAGCAGGCGCGGTGACAAACGGCAGCGGCGACGGCAACGGCAACGGCTGCCCTGGCGGCTGCTGCTAAGGTTGTTGTTGTTGTTGGCGGCAGCGGCAGCGGCAGAGGCAGAAGCGGAGGCAGGTACAACAATGATAAGGTACGTTTGTATTTTGCTCCTCGATTAAATGCTGTTCTCTAAATTGCAAATGGCGCTCAATGTCAATTTATGCCCAATGGTTGTTCCGCAAAACTCCAAATTGCAAAAAAAGTTTTCTCACTTTGTTACTAAGGAGAAAAATGCTGTAAATGTGATTGGTATAGGTTGTCTTTAATGGAACAACAGTTTTTAAGAATAGCTTTAACTTTTGTGACGCTCAATGTTCAATTCCGTAAATGTGACTGGTTTAGTTTGGTTTAAAAGGCGCAATAGTTTTTAGGAACAACCTTAGCTCGCAGTTAACAAAAGATCAAGGGTTGTTTCGCAAAACTCCAAATTTAAAAGTTTCTACTTTATTATTACTAATTCGCTATATACTAAAAAAAACTATTTTGTTTTGCTGATCTAACATTTTTTTATGCCTGATATACTTTGTGTTTGTAGGCGAAATAGTTTTTGAGAAAGTCGTTACTTTTTTGGCCCTTAACGTCAATTAAAACTTTAAAAAGTTTGCCTACTTTATTATTAAGAAGAAAAATTTTGTGAATATGCCTGATTTATGTTGCTTTTATAGGCAAAGGAGTATTTAGGTAAGGCCCCATGTTTCGTGGCGCTCAACTTCAATTACAGCTCAAGGGCTGTTCCGCAAAACTCCAAATTCCAATTAGATAGCTATTTTATTGTTATTAAATAAAACTATTTTCTAACGCTTATTTAAAAAATTTGATTTCCTCAAATATTTTTCTTTTTTTTTGGCGTTTAAGCTTCTGGGAATAGCCTTAACTTTGGTTCTGTGTTGCTGCAGGCAACGTAATTTAATCAATTCGATAAATACAGATTTGCCAATGCCCGAAAAATTTCAACTGCCTCCAGTCACAGAGGCAAACAAATATCACAGCAACAGCAAACTACGATATGCGAGCTGAAAGTTTTTTCGGTCATTCAGCAGACAAGAAGCCACACGTAGAACACAACTGAAAGCTAATACAGTGGTCGCTCGAAAAGAGATAATTTCTGTTGAGTTTTTGTTTTTATTATAAATAATACTGGTATGTTTTCTTTTTGCTATATAACTGAATTCTTTAATGGATTACTAAAATAATCCTTTACACCACAACTTTAGATAAATATAAACCAACTCAAACACATCAGGTCTAAGGAATTTTTTAATAAGCTTCGGTGCTTATAGTCCAATCATTATGAAATTTTAATTTTTTATAAATATGGTATATAAACGTCTGCAAATGCAAATGCTTAATGTCTTAGTTTTTGGTATCTAGCATTTATAATGCTCGAGATATACTAAAGTTGTTATTTAGGAGATATTTTGAGCACAGGAGATATTATATATTAGGTTAAATATATAACCAATTTCCATTCTTTAGCTTTTGTGTTCAGACAGACGGACTTGGTTAGGCAGCTTGTCATCTTGATCAGGAATATATATATATATTATATATATACTGCAACCCGAGTAGGAGCTGCCTCCTTCCGCCTGTTGCATACACACATATCCAATGGGACGCCCCAGTCTGCAGCTGTCCGTTCAGTCGAGCGTACACTGTAATTGTTGTACTCATCAGAGGTCTAATAATTTGTGGCCTAAGCTGCCAACTGCCAGCTGGATATATACAAATACATATATTTATGCTCAATTGTGCTTTCGAGCTGGGATCTGCGAGGCCTCTGAACTTGATGTTTGCTGCGGATGCACATGACAACATCATTATCAGTGTCAAAATGCCATTAAGTGTGTAAATGTGCGGCAGACAATGCCTTTGAAGGATTACACGCATACACACACACACACACACACACACACACAGACAACAAACAAAAAAGAGGAAGAAAACTGAAAATAAGTATTACAAAAAAAGAGAGAGAGAAGAAGAAATGCGCTGCTTTGTCGAAAAGCAAAGAGCATGCGAGTAATATTTGCCAGAGTGCTGGCGGGCATTGAAAACACACGCACACATGAAAATGTATGAGTGTGTGTGTGTGTGTGTGCCGCTTTGCAGTTAGTCAAAAAGCGTCTAGCGATGAGCGCCAAAGTGCGTTGCATACTTTTTAGCGCGCTTTGTTTGACTCGAATTGGGATTTTCCCAGCAGCAGCGGCAGTTGTCGTCATCCTGCAGCAACAACAACAACAACAACAACAATAACAACAACAACAACAGTAATAACAACAACTAGTTGAAGCCAGCAGTGAGGCACAACTTATATTTTTTTATACCTCGCCTTTGCCACGTTGACAACATGCAGTCAACTGGCAGGCGACAAAAATGTCCTTGACCATTTGCACTCTTAGCTCGCGCCAATAAATCTTAGATTTCTATGATTAGCCATTAGGGCATGGCCTGTAATTTATACGTTAAGAGTGCAGTGGCATATTATGCATATTATTGCAGTCTTTGGCCGCATCAGGTCATATTATTAACATTTTCGTTTTCACTCATTTTTCGCCCATTAACGTGGATTTTTCTCAAACAACTTAACGCGGACAAAGCACTTCTGCAAGCTAGGGGTATTTTTTTAGAGTTTCCCTGGCTAATTAACTGCTTTAATTCTATAGCTGAAAAGAAAATATACTTTAGAGTTGTACTAAAATTTCCTCTTCAAATTTTGGGATTTATAATTTCCCTAGGTAGAGCATAGAGCATACAAAATTCGTTATGCTAAAAAACTTACTATAAGGCTGAATGTTTCTTTTCGTATTTTTATTTTTCCTAAAGTGGAACTACATGGGAAATTGATGAATTATAATTTCCCAAACTACCTAAGAGCAAAACGAACTTGTTGTGATTTGTGGGCTGTGCTTGCGCTGTCTGCATTCTCTGTGTGTGTGCGTGTGTGTGCCTATCTGTGTGTGTTAATAAGCATTGGCATAGTGGCAACGACTTTGCTTAGTATTTGCGTTTTTTCATTTCCGGTTTCCACATGTTGACATGCTGTTGCTGTTGCTTGAGTCCTGCTGCTGCTGCTGCTCCTACTCATTCTCCTCCTCCTGCTCCCGCTGTTAATGATGATGGTAATCGTAATGAAGTCAGCAGCAGCAGCCAGTTATGGACGCTGTCACAGCTAGCATTTAGAGTGAGAGAGAGCGAGAGCGAGGGAGAGGGGAGAGTGAGTCAGCTTGTTAGTTTATCAGCTTTGTTTAGGCTTCCCGCCCAGCCTCTATACACTATTATGTAATTTGCACTTGTTAAATGGACTCTTAATTTGATTAGGGCGCCGTAAATATGAAGTGGCGTCGCTTCTCACACAATTTCAATGTGACGCACGTCCTTTGCCAGCCTCCTAAAAACCATATTACCAACTGCTGTTACTTCTCTTCCTCCTCCTTCTGCTCCTGCTCATCTCAGTTCTGACTGCTGCTGCTGCTGTTGCTGATGAGCTCATATTGAAAGTTTTTGTGCCAGCGACCTAGTTTGGCTCAACCGAAATCAATGTGGTCGCCGTGGCGCCATTTGCACTAGCGACCCTTTTGCTCTGCCGATTCCTGAACGCAGCTCCGCTCTCCGCAGCTTCCAACATTTAATCATCATTTTTTCTTCTTCGTTTTCCACAAACATTTTCCTTGGCCTCTTTCAATGGCCATTCATTCAATAATTGAAATGCTTGAAAGACCTGTCCGAGCCTTTGAAACGGGCTTAATGTTGAGCTAACCTCAGAGATCTCCTCGGAGAATATATAAACTAGCTATGTTTTATGGGAGTTCTTCTATAGCAAGTTAATCTTAGACTTTCAATATGTTTACAGTACTCAACCGTCCAATTGTATAAAAAGCAACTACGATGCTCTATCCACAATTGGAATGCTTCGATTTTAGTTTTTCAAGTCCCCCAATCTTTACTGATGAATTCCACTTTAATGTGGCTTGTTTAAAGACTTTTAAAAATGAAAAACAATAAAAAAATCTTCGAGAAAAGCCAAATTCCAATTCCCAATTAAGAACTGTAAAAATTGGGTCTAAAGAAATACAGAAAAGTTTTCATATCAGCTTTTAATTTGAGAGCCTCGCTTTTCAATTTATTCCTTTTTTAAATATGTTTATAGTTGGAGTTCTTTTGAAAACTCTTATTTTATGATTTTAAATATATTGAGTATGTTTTTTTATACATGAATAATAAAACCACGAATTCTGAGTCTCCGACTAGTAATAAAGAAATGCCTAGGAGACAGGGTATCTGTGAGTCGATCATTTTTAATTTTTTAGGCATTCTCAGTTGTTTCCAATTTGGTTTAGTCACCTGCTCGGGCGTTATTAATTGAGCTTTTGATGCACTGCATCGATTGTTTCTGCCTCTCTCCCTCTTCCTCTCTCTCTCTCTCTCTCTCTCTCTCTCTCTGTCCATTTGCCCGTCTGTTCTTCATTTCGGACCCTCCCCTGCCCCCCCTCGGAGCGCTTAAAACACAAAGTAATTGTTAGCTGCAAATTGGTATTTTAATTAAACTTGAATTCAACTCTGCTCAGCCTCGAAATGTTGCATCATCCAAATTGGCTTGACGGATTTGAATTGAATCGAAATAAATGTAGCTACGATTCCCTGCGATACATTCGCATGGTTAAGTATTTTTGTTGCGCTTGAAAAATGTGTCATAAAAATTATATATTTAATAATGCGGCGATGAACAAAATGCACATTAAGCATACGCCGCATTGGCATTTATTGTATTTCACGATTATTGACAACGACATCATCAACATTGTTATGCCCTGTGCCCATTGAGAATTGCGCAAAGCGGGTATATTGGCTTTGTGACCAGGTAGACCTTATTAGGTATATATATATACAAATTGGTTGTTCAGTTGGTTTTGAGAAAGGTTAAGCTCAGATACTCAAAGAGGAATATATATTTTCACCTGTTAGCCCCTGATTTTTGATATATGAACTTATTTGGATATGCCATATTAAAGCATTGCAAATGTCAAGCTCATCAGACTTTAAGTACTCAAACTATTTATAAATGAAATATTTTAAAACTCTCCAAATGATATTTTTGATTTATTTTAAATAATGGAATGCTAATTTCAATTGTGTTCGGTTCAATTTGGGTGTGCCGAAAAGGAAATATTTGAATAAGCAAGTAAGTTAGGGTGTTTGCTAGTCGGTACGGCTCAATTGGAACACGCTTACTTGTTCTTAGCATCATTATAATCAATGTGACTGGCTCAATGAGCGGCTCAATGAATCTGAAGTGGGCAGCGCTTGCTGCGATTATATACCAAGATGCGCATATAGAAAGATAGATAGATATAGATACATGTGGGCTAGATAGATAAATGCGGATTGCATGATTCAGTTGGCCAACTGATGGCAACGGACACGGAGTTGTGCCGCGGCGCAACCAAGAGATTCATTAATATCAGATATTAAACCTTTCTTTTGCAGCACATCCGGTTCGCAGACATAACACTTTGGGGCGGCAGAGAAAGGCATGGTGAAAATGGAGTCCACTGAGGAACAGGATAGAAAGCTTGTCTTGGAGTTTTGCCATTTGCTAGAGAAATCCAAACAGCTCTTCAATGGACTCAGGTATGCCAAATTAATCAGTTTTTGATTTTTTTTTATATCTATATAATGCTGAAATGTTTCCAATTAACACAGAGATCTGCCGCAGTATGGGCATCGGCAGTGGCAAGCCTATTTTGGACGCACCTTCGATGTCTACACAAAGCTCTGGAAGTTTCAGCAGCAACATCGCATGGTCCTCGACTCCAAATATGGACTGAAACGCTGGCAAATTGGCGAAATAGCCAGCAAAATCGGACAGCTTTATTATCACTATTAGTGAGTATTTTATAGTATATAAAAACGGCTAGCTCTGGCAGCCTAATTCCCTAAGTGTTCCATGTGAAATCGACTCTCTATAAGGCTACGATAAATAGCCAGTCAAAGAAAAATCTGTTAAAATATTTAGATCATGAATTTTGTACTTGTATAAACAAGTTTAATTTCTTAAATTTTAAACTAGACTAAACTGAATAGTCGCAAAATAAACATCTATCTTCTATACCACATAGCTGGCAGGGGAACTCTTTCTCAATCTAGACTATATCCAATAACTATTTCATAGAGCAAATATTATGATTATACCATACTTTATATACTTTATTTTCGGTTTTTATCTATTTGGAATAGTTTAAGAACCAGCGAAACGAACTACCTGAACGAGGCGTATCAGTTCTATGCGGCCATACGGGGACGAGCGTATTATTCGCGCGCTGCCAAGGAGGATCGGCCGGATTTGATGGTGAAGAAGCTGCGATATTATGCACGCTTCATAGTCGTCTGTCTGCTGCTGAAGAAAATGAAGCTGGTGCGGGAGCTGGTCACGGAGCTGGAGAAACAAATACAGGAGTACACGAACACGTAAAATGAACGGCAATTGCATTTGCTGATCAGATTTAATCTTTTGCCCACTTGCAGTTACGAGCCGGAAGATCATTTGGAATGGTCGCTGGTGCTGGAAGAGATCAAGGGCTTCATCAAGGCCGAGGCGGCGGTGGCAGTACTCCATGCCGATTCCAATCCCATCATATTATCGCACAGGTGAGTCGTTGGCGCAATCCGATGTACCATTCAGCATACACCTTGCCCGTGCTTTCGTCGGCGGAGTAGGAGTCTATGGAGAGCTCGTGGGGTTAGATATGTTCTCTCTCTCTCTCTCTCTCTCTCTATCTCTCTCTCTCTGTGGGTTGACTCTTTATATGTTTTGCGTAGGTATACGAGTTTTGCTTCAGTTCTGTTGCTATCAATTATTTCATTTATTGTGCTTATCACAGAAGACTTGAAAACACCAAAGAAAACACTCACTGTTCTCATTCATCACGCACTTTTCCATTGATTTTCCCCCCAACTTCATGCACCACACACACATCCACACACACACACACACACACACCAACTGAGAAACAAATGGAAATACTTGGAGGTGACATCGATAATTATGAATATATCTTGAGTACTTGAGCATTTTTTGATCTCACTTTATAATTTTCCCAAGATCTTCACTTATGATGATCGCATTATTGATCTAATCATCTGTCTGTTTAAACTTTATAGAATCCTTGACATTTAATTTGAGGTTTAAAAATATTTAAATGAATAAATAACACATAAAATTCTAGGTAGAATAATAATAGATCAGTCTAAAGAGATCTTAAGATTATTATGAAGAACAAATTTCATTTATTTTGTCCTTCACATATTTATCGATCATGATGATAATTTAAATCGATTATTGATGTATTATCGAAGACGTTTTCATAGTAAAAATTAATACTTAAAAATAAATACTCTTTATATATGAAAATTTGGGAAATGGAGATTAATTAAACATCTCAAGATCTTAACTTCGACATATTACGCATCTCTAGCCAAGAACTTCATTTAATATGATGTTTGTTGGAGTCTTTTAGGGGCTCAAACCCTAACTTAGCTCAATGTGCTACTCACTCGAATGTATTTAAATATATTTTCCAAGCTATGTAACCTTTTCGATAATTTGTTTTCTCAGTGGTAACACACACAGACACCCCTTGTTTTATGATTTCTTATGTTCTCCCCACGTATAAATACCCTCTCACACACACACACACAAACACACACGTACCCCATTCTCCCAGCCCTATATATATCACCTCATTAGTGCGCCACATTCTCAATTCTTCTGTGAAAGCACGGGCCACCGCAATTGGGTTGTGGACCAGCACAACTACAACGACTGATGGGCAGTGGTTCCGGTTCTAGGTTATCGCCGCTGACGACGCCGCCGTGCGAGAGATCGCCGCATATGACGCTCAGTTTGCAGGAGATCCTGATTGTTGGTTCGGCATGCGAGCAGGCCAAGTTCTCCGAGCTGACGATGGACATGTTTAGGTGAATATTCCCACTAACTGGAGAAACTCTGTGTAAAAAACAATAAAATTCATCTGGCTGCAGAATGCTGCAGACGCTGGAACGTGAGCCGACGGAAGCGGCAACGAATCCGTTGAGCATGTCCCATGGCCTTGTGCACGGGCACGATGCGAGTCCGGCGGCCAGCCGCATACCACCATACGGAGTGCCCGGCTCCAAGGGCTATCTGGAGAATGGCCGTCATTATCGAGACAATCCACACAAATATCTACTGTACAAGCCTTCGATTAGCCAGCTGCTGGTCTTTCTGGCCAGCGGCTTTAAGGAACTGCCCCTGGGCGGTGCTCTGCTCCTGTATATGTCGGCGGACGGCTGTTTCTCCACCACAAAGCATCCCGAGGACTGTGAGTACCAACTCCAGCTGGCCAGCAATCCTGTCTAATCTTCTGCCTCCACAGATGGCTACGAGCTGGGCGGCCTGGGCACCAGCGTGAAGCGCGACAGCGTCGATGGCGGCGGCTTATCCTGTCGCGGCAAGTCCTACAAGGAGAGCCACTGCCTATATCCGGGCGATCTGTATCCGTTTACGCGTCGGCCCATGTTCGTCATCATCGATTCGGATAATTCGTTTGTCTTTCAGCACATACCCCGCTACTTTGGCCAGCCGCTGGTCGTTCTAATGTCGCCGCAAGATGTGCCGCCCGCTTTTCAAGGTAAGCATTCCTACATATCAACAAACTTGCTGACTGTTTGACAGATTGATTTACTGATTGACTAACAGTCTGAATGACTGATGCACTATCGACAGACCAAATCAAAGGAGCTTTCTTTCAGCTCGAAAGTAAGCGCTAAGTTAGAGTTTTTAAATATTCGACCTACATGTATGTGATTGCGTGATTTAAGCGTCTGAGCTTCAGACCAGCAACTGAGAAGTCGGCGGTTCAAATTCGACAATTATTTGCAACTTTACTTTTGTTTACCTAATTTTGTTTGTATACATAAGTCTATATACCATAAAAAAGATATAGCTCTACTCACTTTATACACTCTCTCACTGCATCTCTATTGTAGCTGATGTACAGCATCATGGGTCGCTGTTCACGTTGTTCCTGCACTCCCCGCTCACGGCGCTCTGTTACATATGCAATGTGGGTGATGTGCCGATCCATCACTGGGAACGCTGCCAGACTTATGTGGATCGTTTCATAACAGAAGCATCGCGCCTGGTCACGCGTTGTCGCATCGATGAGATCGAACAGGGCATAGGATTTATCGGTAAGTGGCCTCGCTCTGAACATTGCAAGTCTTTCCTCTAATGGTGTTTATGTTTTTTGCATTTTAGACTCCTCCTATGTTCAGTTCTTTGGCGACGATTTTCTGCGCACACTCATTCTACGTTTCGTGTTCTGTGATGTGGTGCTGCGTTTGCATCGCGGTTTCCGTGGACGCCATATGCGACCGCGCTGTGAGCCCCAGCTGCCGGCCAACGAACTGCTCGAGCATCCCTCGCTGTCGCATATCGTTTTCCAGCTGGCATCGGCGCTCGATGTGCGCGGCCATTTCTCGGAGGGACCCGAGTGCGACTGATGACTTTTTTTGGCCGTAGTCTTAGTTCTAGTCGTAATTTTCTATACGAGGCTGTTGCCGCTCTACTGCCCGGACAGACAGTTTTCGTTGTTGCATTATGTGTACAATACTTTTTCGCTGGCAACGAGCTTCAACGTTAGCTGAAAGTTGCAAGCCGGTGGCCAATTAAGTGGGCATCTGAAATAAAATGAAAGGAACTCCATTATGTGTTTGCCGCTTTTGTCGAAATCAGGGCTGCAAACTAACACAAAAAGAAAGGTCGCCGGTTCGAACTAAGTTCCTGCCTTGAAGCGTGGCTCGTGAGCCTGGTTTTCTACATCCGAAAAATCTAGGCTTTATTTCAGTGCACCGAATCATATATTTTCAAATTCTTAATATAGTTGTTTTATTCTATGCAAACTTCCACAAAAGAAAGGTTCGAACCAGTTTCCTTAAGGCGCGGCTCGTGAACCTGGTTTTTTAAACCCGAAAAACCCAGGTTTTGTCGCTCTACTTCAATTTATCATATATTTTTGAAATCTTAATAAACTAGCACAAAAAGAAAAGTCGCTGGTTCGAACCAGGTGTGGCTCGTGAACCTGGCTTTCTACATCAGAAATATTCACATTTCATTTCACTTTATCATATATTTTGAAAAAATCTTAATAAACATTCTATTTATTGATCTCTACCAAAATATGGTCCAATAAAACCCAAGTTCTTTATGCTTTCGTCTTAAGACTTCTTCGAAAGTTTTTTACTTTTAACTCAATCTTTTTTGAATATAAATGGTTTATTTCGGGTTTCGATGCGGTTGTTCTTAAGGCAACTAGTTCCATTTAGGTTTCGGCTCATATTTAAAAATTAATTGGAATTCCGACTTCGAACCAATTCGGTTCAGAAACTTGTTTGCAGCCTTGTTCGAAAATGCATATTAAATTTTTATAAAATACAGACAAGATAATATTTACATAAATATAAATACATATATATATATATATATAAATTATACGCGAAATATATAATAATAATAATCAAGTAGCTAGTTTTCTTATATAGTGCGTCGCGCAATGGAAAGGTCCAAAGTTAGTTGCTTAGCATATACATAATAATAATAATAATAACAATAATAATAATAATAATAATAATAATAATATTGAACATAAAAGTTATACACAACACAAATCTTGATAACAATTAAACATAAAGCAGCAAAAATAACGAAACCTAACAAAACGATAACTGCCAAAAGAGAAGAAGAAAATGAATCAAATTAAGTTGAACAGCTATTTTAAAAAATTAAAAACAATTTTTAAGCTAAACAACAATTAAGATTAGAGAGCAGGAAAAATAAAAATAAAAACAAAACAAAACAAAACATTTTCATACGCAGCGATAAACGTTTAGCTTTTATACAACAGTTAGAGGAGAATATAAATAAATATATATATATAAATAAATGAAAACGAAACTTAAATTAAAATCTATAAACACGACACACTATATAAGAAATGCGTTTTTTTACTGCATTTTCATGCATGTACACGAGACGCTTACAACAAATTAACATAAACAACAAGAAAACAACAACAAACGAATAATAATTATAATAAATATATTGTACGTATGTAATATTGCATATAGGTATTATTATGATTACAAGATGACTGAAAGTTACTGTTTCAAAACGCAAAAACAAACGAAAACGAAAATAAAAATTTAGCAAAAATAATAATTACTTATACATATATATATATACATTCATATATATATATTCATATATATATATATATATATGTGTATATACAAAGGATAGTTAAGCTGACGAACGAAAAGTAAAATAAAAAATAAATATATACAAAATATATTTTGCGTATGTTAAACAAAAATTTAAATTTAAAACAATCCCAGCAAAACATTTTATACGAACTCAAAACAAAAACTAAATACAAATCTATACTTGAGCAACAAAAATAAATAAATACAAAAACAATATCATGTTTCGGCATTCGCATTCACACGAACAAAACCCTATAAACGAATTGCCATTATCATATCGCTGTGTTCCACAAAGTAAATACGAAATTTATTGGTTTTTTTGAAATATATCGAAGGAATGCTCGTGCATTACATGTAACTGATAGAAAATCGAATGGATTCATAGGCAAGCATATACAATATTTCATATATGAATATAAAACTAGTTAAACGCATAGAAAAATACCCAACGGGCCTGTTAAAGATTTCGATGCGGAATCGAAATAAAAACGTGTAATTTGCAAATTTCGGAATGTATAGAAAATCTTTTTCTTGCTTGCATACTTTTTTTTTTTTAATTCTCAATTAAAAACTACAAGCCTCAAGAAACCTATAGAAATGAAACGAACCGTTCCGTAACCGTTTCACAGTCGATTCGAACTCACGAATTCGGAATCACATCGAAGTCTTGAACCGGCCCGCATATTTGACAGGCCCACAAAACAAAAATAAATAAACACCGCAAAAACAATTCAAATTTCAATTTTATAGTTTTTCTTAAAAAAAATTTGTGAATTCAAAAAGCGAGAAGGAAAACGAAAGGAAAAACCAAAAACAAAAACATGTAAAATTTCTCAAATCTCAAGCTGTCTTATAAACAATACGAAACGACAATTATTTTCCAAGGTTCTTAAATACTCTTAACTTCTTTGTTAGCAACAAACGAATTGTATAGAATTTTTAACAAATTTGTTTCAAACTTGTGTACATACAAACATATGTAATTCTAAAAAGAAAAAAAAAACATAAGAAAAGATATGAAAATATGTTAAAAAGAAAATGCTCTTGATGAACCAAATGATAATATTATTGCTAGCGCGTTAACATTATTTTCATTAACATTAGATTTTGTACATTTGAAAATTGCATTTACATAAGCATAAAACTGCAAAAAGTAAACAAAAAAAAAAAAACACAAACACAAAATAATATGCAAATTAATTCATGATTAATCAGCAACATTAGCCACACGTAAGCGATACAAATCCCACAAAGAGTACATTCAAACATAATCATAAGCGAATTGTTTAAAACACACACACACACAAACACACACACTATCAACCCATTTAACAACAAAACAAACGATAACAACAAATTTAGCAAAAGCCACAAAAAATACAAAACATTAAACAAAAAGACAACAAAAACATATGAAAGTATGGGAACGAGAAGAGAGCGTATGGAGTTTGTATGAGAAATAAGAATAAATCACATGTTTGAAAAGAAAATCAGTTTTGTGTTTAATATTTATATAGCCTAAAATGGACTGGGTTTGGGCTGAGCAGAGGGTACTCGACTCGGATGAGGCAGCATTTGCACCAATGTCATGCCTTAATATCCAATTCCATAACTAGGTTTACCCTATATAATGAAATCTTGCCTCGCCAGAGTCTTTCCAGCTCGAAATGAAACAAGAAAGAGCGGCCACCCTCGCTTTTGTGAAGATATGTTGGCAAATCGACAATCCTTTTATAGAACAAGTTATTTTTTAAACGATTCTTTCTTGATAAGATTTTGACACATTCTAGAGTTCACAAATGTCCACTTTGGTCAAGACATATTGAAATTCAGTAATGCTTTTCGTACAACTTAATTTTCGACTAAAAGCAGCTATGTTAAATGAGCTGTCTGATTCTGGTTTATGGCTTTGGCTAAATCCACTCGGCTTTTGAATATAAATATATTAAAGGGATAGTGGATATTGGATTAAATTATAATATGCACTGCATTGAAACTTAATTATCCAATTGAATGTGCCCAAACAAGCAGAATTCTAAAGTCCTTATCCAAAAATTTCCTTTTCTGTATAAACAATATGCCCACGAGGAGTTAAAAAGTTGCAGCTCCAATAGCTGAGCAAATTGAATCTAGTTAAAGCTAAGCCTTGCTCAGGCGACCCGTGTGCTGCTCAATCCAATCGTTAAACGAGGCGACGCGTGTAAATATATCCGGCAATCGCAGCTGGCACTTGTCATCGTAACCGTGTGATACGACGCCAACGACAGTCTGGGTGCCATCGTTCAGGACCAAGGGGCCGCCCGAGTCGCCGCGACAGGGCAGTCCGCCCTTGGAATCAATGCACAGAAACGAGTCCAGTATGAGCTTGCGTTCGCCATTCAGCTGTTTGTTCCACAGACGCTCGCACAGCTTATTGGGAATGATCTTCACATTCAAATACTGCAATATGTCGGTGGGTCGCTGCTTGGCCGTCAGGCCCCAGCCGGAGCTGATGGCCGAGCGACCGTTCAGATTGAATTTATTCTTGCCCCTGGGCAGCCTGGCGGGTTGTGCATAGGCGCCCAGTTTTAGATCCTTGGGCAGACGAATGAGTGCAATATCGTTGGCCACCGTGTGACGATCGTATAGAGGATGCACAATTGTGTCCTTTCGTCTGACCAACAGCTCCATGTGGCCGGGCTCGTCTTTCCTTGTCTTGTTTAGAGCGCCCGCGGTGACAATCACTTTGAGCCTGCAAATTGAAACGGCTTGTAAATAAATCCCGACTTGGCTTGTTGTTGGTTTTTATGCTCACAAATTTGTGTCCGGCTCCTGCAGGCAATGCGCTGCGGTCAGTATCCAGCGCTTCGTTAGAATCGTGCCGCCACACAAACTGGGCTCATCGCCGGAGTTGCCGAAGTAGGCATGCAGTGCCACCTGGTAGGGCAGTTGCTTGGGCCTCGCAGCCGAACCATTGATAATACGCAAATGGCCCTGGCTGAGGATTAGACACGGGCACAACAGCAGCAGCACAAGCGGGTAGAGTGTGTAGAAAGGCTGTCTCATTTGTTTGCTTAACTATGGAGTCGAGTTAACGTGCGCCTTATATATAGCCTTGGATTATAGCTCCAGTTTATAGCCCTAGAGCGTGCACTTCACCTTATCAGAGCTTTACATAATAAACAACTTTTCTGCGTGCTATCAGTTTATTAGTAAAAAAAAAAAGGCTTGAACTCTCGCTACAGGGGATTATATGCATACATGACATTCTCTTTGGTTTTTAATTAATATATATATATATATATATATATATATAGTGAAAGCTCTAGTGTGCAAAATTCAGCATTCAATTTGGGTGTGTCTGCCTTGGAATTACTTCTGCGCTTGTTCGATCTTGACAATGTACCTTCAGGTCTTAAGTATGGTATGCATACCTTATAGAAGAAAGGGATATATTCCAGATTTATTTATTCTTTTAGAAAGTCGACATACCCAATTTGGCGACTCTATCTCTTGTAAGCTGCGAGATATGCTTAAAAGACAGGACTCGATTTTTACTGATTTATCGTTACGTTCAGACGGACGGACATTGCAAGATCGACCCCGCTGTCGAAAAATAAATACTTTACGGAGTTGGAAATGTCTCCTTTATATGCATTAATGTGCCCCCTTTTTGTGCCTAAGGCTTGCATTGTCATCGGAATATTAAAAAATTTAGAAAATATTAAATGAATCTGGGATTCTTCATTCCAAGATATAATAATATCTTGGACTGTTAAGCGTTCGTGCGCTCAAGCGATTTTTCACTGTATACATATTATAGAGTATTATAGACAATTTAACGCTGCTTTCCAAACTTGTAGATTACTTCGTGATGATACTTCTCGCCGGGGCGCAATATTGTTGTGGGGAAATTCTCATGATTCACCGAATCGGGAAACTTTTGCGTCTCCAGACAGAAGGCGCCATGTTTGGCATAGGCCGCGCCCGCTTTGCCCGGCAGCGGACTCTCCCCCTGCGCCTGGTTGGGCAAAAAGTTGGAGGTATACAACTGTACTCCCGGCTGATTGCTGGCAATCTCTAGCCAGCGACCGCTCGGCGGATGCACAACTCTCGCAATGCTCGTGATGTTCGCTGGCGGCGTAAACTTTACGCAAAAGTTGTCATCATAGCCACGGGCCGGCTCCAGCTGCCGTAGACGTTCGCCCAGGTTGCTGGCGATCCGTAAATCAAATTTGCCGCCGTCTACGGGCAGAATTTTGCCCGTGGGTATGGAATCCGCGTCCGTTTCGGTAATGCCATAGGCATTTATGGCAATTGTATGCTCGTAGAGTCCGGCTTGGCCAGCCTTGTGCCCGGCCAGATTGAAGTAGGAATGATTGGTGAGATTCACGGGCGTCGCTTTGCTGGTCACCGCATCCATGCACACATGCAGGCAGTTGTCCTCGGTGAGCGTGAAGCGCACCGTGGCGGTCACCTCGCCGGGATAGCCTTCGTGGCCATCGGGATTGGTGTGCGTCAGCCAGACGCCATTGGGCAGCACCTCCAGCACTTGCCAGTGCGCCTTGTTGAAGCCCACGAAGCCCCCGTGCAGCTGCAATTGACCCCGGTTGCGGCTGACCTCAATTGTCTTGCCGTCCAGCACGAATCGGCCATTGGCTATGCGATTGCAGACGCGCCCTACGGTGGCACCCATATAGGGATTCTGTTCGCTCTCATAGCCCGCCAAATCATCAAATCCGAGCGTCACGTCCTCCACCTGACCTTGAGAATCCGGCACCTTAATGCTGCTGATCGTGGCGCCCAGCGTTAGTATCTGCACGGACATCTGCTCATCGTTGCTCAGCGTAAAGCGTCGAATCGTGCCCGTTTCCTTGGTGAATGGATTCACTGCAGCCTCGGCAAAGACATCTTCCGTGACGTGCACCATGCCGATCCGACTTTGTTATGAGTTAAACACACACAAAACAGTCACTTAAGTAGTAGTGCACACTGCGAAAACCGCAAACACTTCATAAAGAACATATGTTTGTACGCAAATACATATGTACACACAATGTTGATAGAAAATATCTTATCAATGTGTTGCGTGAGTGCTGCCCGCCGCAAGCTCATTTCAAGGCATATCAGTTTAATATAAGTAGCACTTACTTGCATGCAGCTGAAACTTAGTTAATATACAATATATCATTTGTGTTTTTTAGCAAACAGTGATTTATTTTAGACACTTGCACTTGAAATGGCGCGATTTTACTGCGTCTTATCGATAGTATATTTAAAGACGTTCGATAGTTTACAGCTGGATCTGTTGCGCATGTTAATCGATTAGTATTGGGAATCAGCTGAGCTCTGTTATCAGTGGCTTGAAGAGTCTGTTAGCAATTGTGGAGTAAAAGTCTACAGCAACAGAACCTATGCAAATATTTTCAGGCACAACTAGAGGTGCTTTTATCTTTAAAATGCTTAATTTATTTTATATACATTTGCACTTGATATGGCGCCATTTTGCCTCTTATGGATAGCATACTGATCCACTTGTTGCGTTTGCTAAAATCAGCTGAGCTCTGTTATCCGGGGCCTGATGTCTGTTGTGAATCAGTTAACAGTTGTTGGGCAGTGCTCGTTTCCAATAACAGCTGCTGCCAATGTTAAGGCCTATAATATACAATATACTAGCCGTATATTTCGATTTCTTGAACTCTCCTCAACACCAACACAAATGCTGTTAAGTAGCTACCGCTTCGCTTAACAGCAAAAGTTAGCAGCGTGGGCTCGTGGACATGTGTTAAGTGAACTAGTTTAACACTAATCTACTAATTAGTTCGTTCTTTGAGCTAAGTCGAAAGTTCGAACGAACTAATTCCGAACGATTCGATGCAACTCTTTTTGTTTATAAAATCAAAATGGGCTTGACGTGGCAGCGGTTGAGATTTAATTTATTAGTGACCATTGGATTAACATCCTTTTGCCTGCTCATTAAAACAATCAGCGCACAAGAAGCACAACAACCATGGTACGAAAATTTGCCCGCAGTCGCCATGGATTATAAGGTATTTAATTCAAATTAGAAAGTGCACGGGCTAAACAACAATAAATATGTGCTCGAAATAATTTGTTAAATACAGGTACACATAGATGCCGGCAAGGAGGACTGCTATCATCAGTATGTGCAGGCGGGTGCCACCTTTTACGTATCATTCAGCGTAAGTATGCGAAATGGAAGTCCACGCATTTTCTTCATGCTTTAACTTTAACAGGTTGTGCGCGGCGGAGACGGCATGGCTGGCTTTGCCGTACGCAATCCGGCTGGCGAAATCGTGAAGCCCTACCAGTGGCAGGCCACGGCGGATTATACGGACCAAGTGTCGCCCGGTGGCTACTATTCCGTGTGCATTGACAATCAGTTCTCGCGCTTTGCGGGCAAACTGGTCAACATCTACATCACGGTCGTCAAGTACGATGCGTGGGACAAGTACGCCAAGGAGATCGAAGAGCTGCAGCTGAATATGCAAAACTTTACGACCACAATTGGCACCGTTGAGCGCAACATTAATGATATGCTCGGCTATCAGGCGCACAGCAGGCATCGTGAATCGCGCGATTATGCCCTGCTGCTGGACAACAATTCCTATATACAAACATTCTCCATTAGCCAGATTGTGGTCATTCTGATTACGTGCTCCATACAGGTGAACGGGTTTGCCAGTGTTGCCAGTGTTGCCAATTCAGCTATTCTCAGAAAACAGTTAAATTTTAAACGAATTTACCTTTATCACAATAACAACCCTGCACATAAGCTAGCTTTAGCTATTTTATCATTTGGCAACACTGATTAACGCTTTGATTTTGTTTATTATAACTTAAACAATTACTTTTAATTTCTAGGTATTCTTCGTGCGCAAACTGTTCGAAGTGAAGACTACCTCCAAGAGCCGTATTTAGTTGCTAATAGGACCTTTTTCATGGTCGCCAAACTTGCGGCATTTATGCACAAAGCTGTAAAAAAAACACTTTTGTACTTTCCTCCGTTCTTTTATATGTACTTCACACGTTCCCCAAGCGCACTGCACATACACACCAAGCATTCATCATGGAACCTATTATAATATGTAATTATTTTAATGTTGGCAAACAGAACAAGTGCAAACTTAACAGACTTCAACTACTGATATTTATCATTTGTCCATATATATACAACTTATGTGATAAATGAACATGTGTCCAGAGAGAGAGAGAGGAGTTTTTAATTAAATTAAAGTTTATATTTTATACTTGAGTATATGTATACATCACATGGTAAAGCTTCTTATTTGTATTTGGGTTTGTGTCTACGCTAAGTTAAGTTAGTTTCCTGCAAGCTCTCGAAATCCCGTTGAATTCAGTGTTGCCAACTTCCGCTTAAAAATAGCTGAATCAATTTGAAATTTCAACTGAAACTAGCCAAATTTAGCTAGAAACCTGCTGCATTGGCAACACTTGCCGCATTATGCATAAAGTTGAAGTTAATTATAGTTTGCTGGATTTTCACGTTAATTACTGATAATTATATATATTGTATCTATTGGTATTGGGCGGCGAATAGCTGGGTGCGTCTAGCTCGGAAAAAATGCCTTCGCCCGTATCGCTGCCCGGTCTGAGTACGCCCTCACTAAAAGCAGAGCGTGTTTAATTTGAATATCACATATTGGTAATCGAATTTTAGCCAAATTCCCAGTGTTTCTTTTTTTTTTGTCTGTTGCTCACCCAAAGGCGCTGCCACCGAAGCGTCCCACATTGGGAGCCTGGTAATAATTATAAGGCGTCGCATTTATCCAGGAAGTAAGCATAAAAGCGCACAGCAAAAACACACAAATCTTGAGGAACTGCATTATCCAATAGCTTGACGTCTTCTTTATTCGTTAATAAAATATTTTTTATTTGTATTTAATAGCGGAACGAGCTACCGAAGCTGTCGCAATGAGTTTCAATCGAGTTATGCGGCTACCAACTGGAAGAATGACACCTATTTATACTGCAGACCTGATTTTGACCAGTCTATTTACATATACGACAATCAGAACTAGTTTCCATATCATTGACGCTGTTTCTTAAAAGCGTTTTAATGGACAAGAGAAATTTAAATGGCATTTAACCATATATTTGTATTATTATAAACCAAAAGGTTAAATTTACAAACTATCCACCAACGGGACAGCTTTATGCATAGAAGCTTCTTGCATTAGAGAAAATTCAAATAATATTTTATATTTAATAACTAATGTTTATGTCAGTTCAGAGTACGTCAAACTTTGAAACAACATTGAATTTAAAGTAACGGAAAAAAATCACAGCAAAACATGTTTTTTTTTTTTTATTCGACAAATTGGAGCTACCAAATAACATTTTACTAAGTCATAATCATATTAACAATCGGCGACCGGTTAAGTTCTATTCTCAATTAATCTGATTTCTAGGTAAGAAATGAGCTCATAAATACTGAACGATTGATATTATTCATACAAATTCATCCGTTTTTTTCTGCCGTTCCGGAATTCAAATTTGTTTGTTTTTTGTTAAGAAAATTTGACCTCGAATTGGAGAAAAAAGGGCGATGCACGAAAAACATAAACAACAACGAACGAGACGTCATAAGGCTTAGGCGTCTGTGCGTCAGACGAGCAAATGAGAGGTCGCCGGTTCGAAGATAGTATAGAGTGTACGAAAAACATAAACAACAACGAACGAGACGTTGTAAAGCTTACATAGCTCCGGTGTCTGTGCGTCGGATCAGCAAGCGAGAGGTCGCTGGTTCGAAGTTAGAATAACGTAAGCTGAAGCGTTTTTTTTCATGGCAGCAGAAGTAATTTCGTTGCAATTGAGCCGGATGACGCCGTGTAATTTAGACTCGCAAATGTGCAACTGAATCATTTTATTTAATGTGCAACTTTCTGAAAATGGGCAACAAAAGTGACAGGAAAAGGGAAAGAGCTGTGAACCAGGTTCACAAGCTGAACCATAAGACGCGGCACTTGTGCGAACCATGAGCCGAACCAGAACATGAAAAAGTGGTTCGTGAACTTGTGACAATATGAGAAGCCACATTTAAACTAAGTGTTTCTTAAAATATGTCCAAAAATATATGCGAAGCATTTAAAATATTTGTAAGCTAGTTTTAGTTCCGCAATAAAAATAATGGTATTGCCTATGAGAATTTAATTTAATTTATTTATGTTAAAGCGCACACACACGGGCACACAAGAGTCATGCACACAAACACACGCATGTTAATTACATAACTTAAAATGCGATTATGTGTGCGCTTATCTGCGGCGTCTTCTTGGCCAATTCCCGCTTCGCACAGTTTCCCAGCTGCGCCTTAAAGTAGGCAGCACTGAAAATGAACCCGCAAATGATGCGAGCTGGGCCCCAAACTAAGCGCCTAATGGCTCGCACACAGATAAGTGAGTGCTTGAGTGTGTGTGTGTGTGTGTGTGTGTTAGTGCTGGCTCTTTAACTGTTTTAAACGCCATTGTTAAAATATTGCTCATACGCACTTCCGCCCGAAATGGGGTCTTTGCTTGGACTAATGATGCCAGCGCCGCAGCCAGTGCTGCCCAAGAACGTGCAGCAGCAGTCGCCGTAGCAGCAGCAGCAGCAGCAGCAGCAGCAGCCAGTGTGCACAATATCGACTGCAGTTCAGATGTGGCTCCGCCCACTTTTGGCTAAGCGCAGAGATAAACAAAGCGGGCGAAAGGGAGCGCGCGTGCGCATCAACCACCGCAAAAGGAAGCGTTCATGTTGGGGTGCAGCTGCCGCCGCCGCTGCTCGGGCATCCTTTTGATGTGAGCCAGAGCCCTGCTGATTGCGGCCTCCCGAATGTGGGAGGAGTATGTGTGTGCCGGGCGCCATCTTGAGAGCGCGCGCACGAGATGATTTGTGCCTCATTGTGCGGCCAGGCCAGGCGAGCCTTTTTGTGTATGGCCAGCGGGACATACACATTAACTTGGAGTGCGCGTTACCGTTACGACACGTCGAGCGGAGCTGCATAATAATAACGGCACTTTGCGGTCGAGTATACGTCGGTCCACACACACACACACACACACGCACACACACACAGGAAGCCGCGAACTACAAGGGGGAGAGGAGACCACAAAATAAATATAAAAAGTAAAAAGTACAAATACAAACAAAAACAAAGCTTGGACAAATGCGCTTGTTGCTTGCTGCCAACTGACAGTAGGCGTGGCAGCGCCCCTCTGCCCACGTGTGTAAATGTGTGTGTTGCATAAATTGTTGTGCGGAAATTATTGAAATTTTACTTTTTGGCCAAACTCGCGGCGAGAAAGTGGCCCGCCGACAAGGCCAAAAGGGACGCGTTACGGCCACCGTCGGCGTTCTGTGCCACGCCTCCTTTACGTATTTTGCGCACTGACAAATTTACTTGCATATCCTGCTACAACAACAACAACTAGTCACAAAACTAAACAAACACAATTTGCGTATCGCAGTCGCCCCTTCACAGCGCGCCCGCCAAGCCCAAGCCAAGCTTGTTCTCCGTCGCCATTTTGGACAATAATTTCACTTCCGGTTTGCACAAATACAACGGTAAATGGTATTTAAAAAAACAAACAACCTAGCACAAAATGCCGCCAAAGTGACGCGTGAAGTTGTCGTATTTCAAGAATATTAGTTAGTCAAAGTGCATTAGTTAATCAATTAACTAAATTAAGTGGAGCTTGACATATTCGGATTAAGCACAAACACAGAAACCAGCATAATCCTGAGGTGAGTCTCGTGAAATTTTTAATAATTTTATTAACTATTTAATTTATTATTATTATTGTTATTATTACTATTATAATTTATTGATTCTTACTGTTATTATCATTACATAAATATTATTTATTTTCATTTATATCTGGGCACATAGTTTTTAGTCGAAATTTATGTAAAATTTGACAATCTGAAATCGTATATAGACATGGGTCGAAATTTCCCACCCTCATAACTCGTTCAAAAACCAACCGATTTTCACGAGGCTTAGTTTTCTCTACATTATTTGGCCCCAAGATTAATTTGGCATATATATCTGGGAACATAATTTTTAGTCGAAATTCATCTAAGTGCGGGTACTTCTGGATATCCTATACAGACCAATTATCCCACATAGACATTGAGTAAAATTTCCCACCCCCATAACTCTGTCAAAACTTAACCGATTTTCACGAGGATTGGGTTTTTCTTCATGGTTTGGCCCCTAGATTAATTTGGCATTTATATCTGGGAACATAATTTTTAGTCGAAATTCATGTAAGATTTGACAACCTGAATTCTTATATGGACATGGGTCGAAATTTCCCACGCCCATAACTCGGTCAAAACTCAACCGATTTTCACGAGGTTTGTATTTTTCTTCATTATTTGGCCCTTAGATTAATTTGGCATTTATATCTGGGAACATAATTTTTGGTCGAAATTCATCTAAGTGCGGGTACTTCCGGATATCCTATATAGACCAATTATCCCATATAGACATTGAGTAAAATTTCCCAGCCCCATAACTCGGTCAAAACTTAACCGATTTTCACGAGGATTGTATTTTTCTTCATTATTTGGCCCTTAGATTAATTTGGCATTTATACCTAGGAACATAATTTTTGGTCGAAATTCATGTGATTTGACAACCTGAATTCTTATATGGACATGGGCCGAAATTTCCCACCCCCATAACTCGGTCAAAACTCAACCGATTTTCACGAGGTTTGTATTTTTCTTCATTATTTGGCCCTTAGATTAATTTGGCATTTATATCTGGGAACATAATTTTTGGTCGAAATTCATGTAAGATTTGACAATCTGAATTCTTATATGGACATGGGTCGAAATTTCCCATCCCCATAACTCGGTCAAAACTTAACCGATTTTCACGAGGATTGGGTTTTTCTTCATGGTTTGGCCCCAAGATTAATTTGGCATTTATATCTGGGAACATAATTTTTGGTCGAAATTCATGTAAGATTTGACAATCTGAATTCTTATATGGACATGGGTCGAAATTTCCCACCCCCATAACTCGGTCAAAACTCAACCGATTTTCAGGAGGTTTGTATTTTTCTTCATTATTTGGCCCCTAGATTAATTTGGCATTTATATCTGGGAACATAATTTTTGGTCGAAATTCATGTAAGATTTGACAACCTGAATTCTTATATGGACATGGGTCGAAATTTCCCACCCCCATAACTCTGTCAAAACTTAACCGATTTTCACGAGGATTGGGGTTTTCTTCATGGTTTGGCCCCTAGATTAATTTGGCATTTATATCTGGGAACATAATTTTTGGTAGAAATTCATCTAAGTGCGGGTACTTCCGGATATCCTATATAGTCCAATTATCCCATATAGACATTCAGTAAAATTTCCCACCCCCATAACTCTGCCAAAACTTAGCCGATTTTCACGAGGATTGGGGTTTTCTTCATGGTTTGGCCCCTAGATTAATTTGGCATTTATATCTGGGAACATAATTTTTGGTCGAAATTCATGTAAGATTTGACAACCTGAATTCTTATATGGACATGTGTCGAAATTTCCCACCCCATAACTCTGTCAAAACTTAACCGATTTTCACGAGGATTGGGGTTTTCTTCATGGTTTGGCCCCTAGATTAATTTGGCATTTATATCTGGGAACATAATTTTTGGTCGAAATTCATCTAAGTGCGGGTACTCCGGATATCCTATATAGTCCAATTATCCCATATAGACATTGAGTAAAATTTCGCACCCCCATAACTCTGCCAAAACTCAACCGATTTTCACGAGGTTTGTATTTTTCTTCATTATTTGGCCCCTAGATTAATTTGGCATTTATATCTGGGAACATAATTTTTGGTCGAAATTCATGTAAGATTTGACAACCTGAATTCTTATATGGACATGGGTCGAAATTTCCCACCCCATAACTCTGTCAAAACTTAACCGATTTTCACGAGGATTGGGTTTTTGTTAGGGTAATTTCTAGTGTGCCTAAGATGCACATAAAGAAAACACACGTAGTGGTTCGGTTAAATGTTTAATGGAAACTTCGAAGCATGAGTACAAAAATCTGAACAAGTACTCAATTACAGAATGAGTACTATGCTGATACAATGTTGCCAGATTATAAAGAAGCTTAACAGCTTATTGTCACTATTTTAACACTTCTTCTTAAGCTAATTATAATCAGTTGCAAAATAACAAATTTAATTCAATCCAAGTGTTTTTACAAAGCCTACGTGCTTTTGCTTACTTAAACATTTTGTTAGTATATCTGCAACATTATTATTTGTAGGTACGTATTCTAATGCAATATCATTACATTGTACCTTTTCACGTATAAAATGATACCTTATGTCTATGTGCTTAGTGCGCTTATGATGGACTGGATTTTGCGCAATATGTTGCGCGCTTAGGTTGTCGCCACATATAGTCAACGGCTCTGTATCCTTTGACCATCCCATCTCACTAAGTAGCCTGCGTAGATAAACTGCTTCTTTGGCAGCCATGGACAAAGAAATATATTCTGCTTCAGTGCTGCTCAATGCGACAACGCTTTGCTTTGATGAAGTCCAAGAGAACGCACTGCCTGCCAGGAAAAATGCGTAGCCACTATAGGATCTCCTGTCCAGCCGATCGTTGCCCCAATCTGCATCTGCATAGCCTTTTAGTGGTTTGCCATTTTTACGGTATACTAATTTCATATTCTTTGTACCCGCAAGATATCTTAGAATGTGCTTTGCTGCAGACTGGTGTTCTCCATGAGGATTAGCATTTCTTTGTGATAATTTGTTTACAGCATGCAAAATGTCTGGTCGGCTCAAAACTGCTAAGTATATAAGCGAACCAATTAATGACTGATATTGCGTTATATTTACCTTTACACAAGTATCGTCGTTGCAGTCCACTTGAAAACCTGGGTCAAGAGGTGTGCTTACTGGACGGCAATTGCTCATGCCATACTTGTCCAATAGGCCTTGAATGTGCGTCTTCTGGTACAGCGAAACGGAACCTCGATCGCCGTCGCGTTGGATTTCCATGCCTAGGAAATAGCTAATGGGGCCTCCATCGTGCATTTTAAAATTTGATGCAATCTTCTTCTTAATCACGGCTATGTCTTCTTCGCTGGGACACACTATGATTAAATCGTCGACGTAGACAGCGATGTAGCTGAATTGTTGTTGCTTTTGCTTGACGTATAAGCATGCTTCATTTTTGCATCTTTTAAAATCCATGCCTCTCAATACCTCATCGAGCGTATTGTTCCAAACTCGTCCGGATTGTTTAAGCCCGTAAAGTGCCTTTTCTAGTTTGAGGACTTTATTTGGATGCTGCTTGTCAATAAAATTCGGCGGCTGTTTCATGTACACAGTTTCATTAAGCTTACTATTTAAGTATGCGTTTGAAATGTCGACTTGATGCATATACAGCTCTTTTTCGGCAGCTATTGCGAATAACATGCGAATGGTTTCATATCGAATTACGGGAGAAAACGTTTCCCAGTAATTGACACCAAATTGTTGACCACAACCTTGTGCAACTAGTCGAGACTTAAATTTTTCAATATTACCATCTTTATCTCTCTTGATTCGGTAAACCCATTTTGAACCAATGGCCTTTTGTCCAGGAGGTAGCTCACACACTGACCATGTCTCATTTGCTTGTAAAGCGTCGTACTCTATTTGCATAGACTTTTCCCAATCCTGCGCATTTTGGCCATGTAATGCTTCTGCAACTGACTGCGGAGTTTCAATGTCTTCAATCTGATTAAGACTATTGATCAATTGGTACTGCTTTCTGGGCCTGCCTGGCTGACCTGTACGTATAATTTTTGGCCTGCCACGCCCATGTTTTACTACAGCTTCAACTTGTGGCAGCGCTACTTGGTCATTGTCGTCATCGTTGCCATCTTCTCCTGGATCGCTTGCGCTCACAAAATCCTCCTCTTCTTCTTCATTTGAGTCACTGTTGTACTCTTGCACCTCGGCAGGTTGCTCTGGGTGGTTTTTTGCAACCTCATGATTTGACTCAAACGGGATAATGTACGTCGTGAAGGTGTTTCTGTCTGAAATACTGCATGCATCAGTTGTTGCTATGTCAAACTCACCTTCAATGAATTTGACATCCCTTCTTTCAATAACTGTTCGCTTCTCGCGATCATATAGGCGATATGCCTTTGCTGTAAAGGAGTAACCAACAAAAATGTACTCCTTGCCCTTTGCTTGGAACTTGCTTTTTCTGACTTTGTCGAGTGCAAATGCCCGCGAGCCAAATACTCTCAAGTGCTGTACTGATGGCTTGCGATCCTTCCATACCTCAAATGGTGTGCTTCCATCTAATGCTTTTGTGGGACATCTGTTGCGCAAATAAACTGCTGTTGCAACAGCCTCTGCCCACAAAAATTCTTCAAGCTTTGAATGAATTAGAAGACTTTTTGCCATTTCAACGATGGTCCGATTAGCACGTTCGGCCACACCATTTTGCTGCGGAGTGTAAGGAACTGTTAATTGCCTCTTTATACCGCACTCGATCAAAAATTCAGTGAATTGCTTATTCACATACTCTGTTCCATTGTCGCTGCGCACAGCCTTTATTTTATTTCCTGTTTGGCATTCTACAAAAGTTTTAAACATTTTAAACTTTTCAAAAACTTGGCTTTTTGAGTGCATAAGGTAAACAAATATCTTGCGTGAGTAGTCATCAATAAAAGTTACGAAATATCGATTGCCTGCAAGCGACTTAACATTC